TGTAAATACACAAATACTATTGTAGTTGAAATTGAAATAGAAAACAAGCAGCCTTGCCACTAAGGGTTTTTTTTTCTGCCTGCGGGAACACACAAAAACTAAGGTTTTTCAAATTTAGGAATTCAAAGTTTAAATTCTGTAGAAATTTCTCTGTGCTCTGCACAATTCATCCTTACTATTTTGCGGTTGATGAAAACATCTTGCACTTGTGCATTTGATTGGCAGTAAAATTCCGATATTATCCAGTAACTTTCAGACCAGACGAAATCATCCCGATTACTGTATCGCCTTACATCTGTGGTTCTTCAGCTTCACTTCGGACGCATACTGATTGTTGCATTTTGAGCAATCGAACGTCCTTTTACCATGTTTATTTACGTAATGATTGTCTAATCCGTCCGCTGTGTTGTATCCTTGTTTACATCCTGGGAAAAAGCACTGGAAGTAACCTAAAACTGAATGCTTTAGAAGACATTTTCAACCATGCCCCACGAATAATGCTGTTTGTGTCCGGAACATTATTCATGAAATAAAAGCGGTATACAGCGTACGAGAGCGATGCTCCTGGGACACATTGTACTAAGCAAAGAGTTGGATCAGAAGAGCAATGCAGCCGAAAAGAAAGTGGTGCAAAGTGCCAGTTAATCTCGCCAGCAGATTGCACATAAACGGTTTGAACTTGGATGAAGCTAACAGTAACGTGCACCAAAACTATGAAGTGAATGTGCGCCAATACGTCGATATGCGGCTGGTTGATGCAAACTTATTAATAACGGTTTATTTAAGGTGTTTAATGGACGGGCTCATACCGGCAATGAATGCATGTGAGATGACGACCAATTCAAAAAGAAAACGCTAGTTTTGCCTAGGATGCGACGTGGCATCGGGGAGTGGCCGGTACTTCTTTGCAACCGTGCAAGATTATCTAACTGAAATAGAAAGGGAAGGGTCCATGGAGACCCGACCAAGAAGATTTCAAATACATATGTCAGCGTTGTGGTAGACGAGCGGTGGAGATAAAAATCTCAGCACCATGCGTGCTCTTGGGCCAAAAACATCTTATGAAACTGTAAAAATCTAGAGGTGTTGAACTAACATAGGGGTCAAGTAGGTGGCGGGACTGAGATAGTTAAAGCTTCAATAACTGACCAACGCACGGGTTGCCCGTGCAAAGATGCGTTTTTTTGCATAGTTTCCCACAATTTTTGTTGCTACCGCTACCGGTTTTTTCGGCAAATGCTTCTAGCCAAACAAATTAAGACTGGCCACCAGAACTGTCAAAAAACACCCCCTTAAAATTTTAGCTTTCTAGCTTTCCTAGTTCCCGAGTTTAGCGACTTACCCGAAAAGAACTTTCACGGGCCGTACGTGGGTACCATGCATACCCGATGCCTGGGTTTGAGCTCACTGAGACTTACTTGGACGGGAAATATTCTCTTAAAATTACAATTTCTAGTTTTTCAGGTTCTCGAGCTAGCAACTTATCCAAAATTGGCGGGACCGCACGAGGGTACCATGCAAACACGTAGGCTGTTTTGAACTCATTAAAACCTACTTGGACGGTGAACTTTCCTTTAAAATTTCAACTTTCCAGCTTCTCTGGTTCCTGAGTTAGCAGTTTGTCCGTAAAAAACCTTAGCAGACTCGTACGTGGGTACCAGCATTGCCGGAAGCTGAGCTTGAGCTCATTAATACCTACTTGGACGGGAGCGCCGTCTTAAAATTCCAGTCTTCTGGCTTCTCAGGTCCCTGAGTTAGAAAGTTACCCGAAAAGAACTTTAGCGGGCCCGTACGTGGGTACCACGCGCATCCGAGGGCTCGGTTTGAACTCATTAATATCTACTTGGACGGTGAACATTCAGCCCTGTAGCTTTTGTGTGTCTCGAGATGAAAAATCAGCACAGACGCGCAGCGCACAAACAGACACACACACATACACACACCTTGGCAATCTCTCGTCAATATGCGTTTTCTGCATTGCACAGCTGCAAAAAACGCATAAAAAAGGTGAAATTTCATACCGCTTGCTTTGCTAGTAACCAGTAGGCAGCGTCTGTCAGTAATTGGTACTTGTGAGGAAAAAACGAGCTCATAACAGCCTCCGAAGATCTGGCGCATACAGAGTGGTAGTCGGCAACAGCAATAGCTGGAGGACGCCACTCAAAACACGAACCTCTACATTTGGCGCTCGGATGCATTTCAGTAATCGCTGCTTTCCACAGTTTCCCTGTAGGCTGTCTAGCATTTTGAAAATTTTGACGCGCCTCTTTTCGTGCTTGTTCATGAATTATGGCTAAAACTCTGCAAGTTTTGAACGGGTAAAAACACTAAGTTAAATCTCTTACATTTGTGCTTTTTCAGTTCATTTTCTAAAGCGTACATTCTATCACACTTTGAGCAGTTAAACGTCTTCTCCGGATGTTTTTCTGTGACGTGTTTGCTCAGTTTATCCAATCTCTTGTAGCTGCAGTAGCATCCTGGTACAGCGCACAGAAACCGATCTAAAATTCTGGAAGTGGATTTTTTATATTTTTTGAGTTTAGGGGAGGATTATGGAGAATGGCTAGGGAAATAAGACCGGAAGAATGGAGGGACTAAAAAAGTGCATTTTGCAAATTATTGCTTTTTCGCAGACCGCTTCCATAAAGGGCACCACCTCATCATTTCCCTCCTCCTCCTCCTCTTGATTCTGTCGAAGCTAAATTTTTATCGTTTATGTTTTGGATTTGGAAAGCACTGTAATTTTCAGAAACAAAGCTCACCTTTGGTGTGCACTCTTTGCTTGTGCAAGTTTGAATGGAAGAGGCTGTCAAAAGTTTTGCCGCACTCCTCGCACTTGCGTATATCACTTTTCGGCATGTGTTGTAAGTAGTGCTGTGAGAGGCGTTTGTAGCTTTTTTCGTGAATGCCGCAATCGGGCCAGTTGCATCGGTATTCGCCTTTCTTGTTATGGCTGCTGAGATGTTTTTTGAAAACGCGGTAGGCAAAAAACAGCTTGCCACATCTTCCGCAGGTGAGCTCTTTGGTTGATTTCGTGCTGCAGCTTGCTTGAGCAGAAGGGATTGTTCCGGCCAATGAAACTGTGGTCAACCCAGTTCGAACTGAGGTTTGGGTAGGATCTGGCTGGGAAGTGGTTAGTTTTTTGGTTGGTTTTTTGGGGCTGGTCGATTGTTTGGTTATAAAGTGCAGTGGCGCCGTCACATTCGCTTTACCAATTGGTACATGATTAAGGACAGAAGGAATCGGATTATACCAGTGCAAAGCAGGAATTTCTAATTTCTTTTTTAGCTGCCTGATGGCGATGCATTTGTCTGATGTGTCTGACACAAGAGTCGTATTGGCAGCAGAGTTCACAATAAGATTTGATACTGTCGGACCTCCAGTAGCGCCCTGTGATGTAAATGGATCTATAGAAAGATATGAATTCGGTCGAAGTTCTAAATCGACGGGTCTTAGCGTGGAGAGTGCACTTGATCCGCTAGCAGAACCATGCTGGTAAGCTACATCTGACCAGAGTTTATTAGTGGTGCGGCTTTGCAGAAGTATTGAAAGTGACCTGCTGTCAACATCAGTGGAAGGAATCGAAGAGAAATCTCCCGATACACGATTGTTTCTGGATGAGTTCACTAGATCTGAAGGAAACTGTGCTGTATCGCCCGTAAGAAGAGGACTGCTGTGCAGCGTCACTGTGCCATAAGAATTAATGGGCTTTTGCTCAATGCGCTCCAGCTGATCCAAATCAGCAGCCAGAGCATTTCTCGAAATCAAAGTTGTAAATGCGTTGCCATCAAGTTTCGAATTCCACAGTTCTGGTTGATCAGTGAGAGCATCCGAGGTTGCAGCTGGAGTTTGGACTGCATTCGGTTCGGTTACGCGAAGCATGGCTTCAAAATCCATAGCACCTCGCTCGGCAGCCAAGTTCTCATTCGAGACTGGGCTTTGACCAGCATTGTCCACTGTTTTCAACCATTCATCAATGAACCATTCCATCTCATCATAACAAAACGTGTTTTCAACATTGAAAAGATCAGCTTCGATGTTTTCGTTGAAATCTGCATTTGACTCATCTGCTGCTAGATTCCTGGAAAACTCATTTAGAAGTGGCAGATAGCTGGTCGTTTGCATAAAAACAGCTGGAATGGTTTCGGTGACTGGCTGTTGTGGCGCATCGCTGTTGAGATATGAGTGGTTGCTGGGTGCAGCTAAACGTAGGGGGATGAAGCAGAGAAAAAGCTTGCAGGCAGCTGCAAGTGACATTCGGCTGACTTTGGTGCCACAGACTGCCACTGTATAAATAGTCGCACAGATCGGCTGCTGTGGTTAATCTTTCATAAATTATGCATGAACGGTAAGACAAACGATCAAACCCTGCATTTTGCAGTGGAGCTTAACTGCACTGAAATGCACTTAGGCGTTCGTTTTCATTTGGAGAAGAAAAAGGGAAAAGGATTGCTAATCACCATATTTTAAATCGAATCAGACCCCGAGTGGCGATTGTAAGAACGAAACTGACCGAAAGTCGCACATGCGTCGGGCGAATACAGAGTGCTGCAAGGAAGTCTACCGTCCTCCCGCCCCCCTCTCCCCAGCGGCACTGACATCAGTGCTACAAAAGTACGGGTCTAAAGCTAAAACTGAACAAAACTCTCTTCCACTTCCCTATCGTGCCCTCCCGTTCTCCCCCTCGCTCGGTCATCACCACGCCACAAGCCCCATTCTTGCTTCGTCCTCTCACTTGTCCCCGCACCAGAAGTTCCACCCTTCCCCCCACTCGTGCTCCCCCAGGAGCACGTCCTGGATACACCTATGGCATGCATTAGCATCGAGACAATCGGATTGTTCGAACGATTTTAGTGATGTTGAAAATTCTTATGTTAACAGTTCTGTCAGCAAAACAAGAGATATTTCCAGAATGAATATCAAATTCAAGTCAGTCTGTTACATACAAAAATAGCCACCAGGCATAATGATCAATTTCGTGCTCTGCGGGCAGCTACTAAGCAACAAACTGGTTCAGTTGGCTACGGGCGCTATGAAGCTTTGAGGTGAGTTCGGAAACAAAGCAATGGTTTAAAAAACGAACAACTGGGAAAGACCTTAAAAGTTCCGTATCCACACAGGTAAAACTCAAAAACAGATGGACTTCGTTTCGAGCGGAATAAATCTTTCATCCAAATCTGGGCGTGTCACTGCTAATGCGAATGCAGCACTAACTTCCTAGCTTCAGAAAAAGCTTCATCCAAGCTTATAAAAAAAAAAATAAAGAAAAGCGAAAGCAAGAATCGGAAAGTATGAATAAAAACTAAGGAAAACAAAGCAAATATAAAATGAGAAAGCAAAAGCAAAAAAACAAGAAACTTAGCAAAATGAATAACTTATGAGTGAAACTTGCTCAGTAGTGAATCACCTGCAGAAATGGACCTCTCTGTTTATGAAGTCGATGCTAAGGCAAATTGAGAGCTCTCAGATTTACTTACGCAGATTTACCTTATCCGCTCTCAGTTTTACCCAAGCATCAGCTTTATAAATGGGAAAGTCCCTTGCTAACGGCAGGTTTTTTTAAAACAGTCTCCACTTTTTTACGCTTCTTTGCTTTTATCCATGGTTTGAGTTTTTTTTTGATTTCTTTGCTTTTATTCATAGACTTCGATTTGCTTTCATTTATTAGATTGTTTAATTCATTTTTGTTTGTTGTGTTATGTTGTCTTTTTCTTTTTACTGTTGTCTCCAGTTCTTGCGTGGAGCTTCTGACTTGTATCCTCGTTCTCCTTCTCTACCTTGTCCCTAATCCTGCTCGCAAAACAACACCTGAGATCCTTTCCATCCCACAATAAAAGCAAACTGGAAGCAAGCAGTATCCCTTTCCCAACCCCGGATATTCGCGGCAAAAAACTAGGAACACTCTTCTTGTTCCCAACCACCATCCCCACCTCTCTCTCCCCTGCCTCTCTCTCCCCTCCCAACCACCATCCCCACCTCTCTCTCCCCTGCACCATCCCCACCTCTCTCTCCCCTGTCCATTTCTGCAGGTGATTCACTACTGAGCAAGTTTCACTCATAAGTTATTCATTTTGCTAAGTTTCTTGTTTTTTTGCTTTTGCTTTCTCATTTTATATTTGCTTTTGTTTTCCTTAGTTTTTATTCATACTTTCCGATTCTTGCTTTCGCTTTTCTTTATTTTTCTTTTTTTTTTTATAAGCTTGGATGAAGCTTTTTCTGAAGCTAGGAAGTTAGTGCTACATTCGCATTAGCAGTGACACGCCCAGATTCGGATGAAAGATTTATTACGCTCAAAACGAAGCCCATCTGTTTTTGAGTTTTACCTGTGTGGATACGGAACTTTTTAGCTGTTTATTTTTAAACCATTGCTGTGTTTCCGAACTCACTTCAAAGCTTTTTAAAGCCCGCAGTCAACTGAACCAGTTTGTTGCTTAGTAGCTGCCCGAAGAGCACGAAACTGATCATTATGCCTGGTGGTTATTTTTGTATGTAACAGAGTGACTTGAATTTGATTTTCATTCTGGAAATATCTCTTGTTTTGCTGACAGAACTGTTAAGATAAGAATTTTCAACATCACTAAGATCGTCCGAACAATCCGATTGTCTCGATGCTAATGCATGCCATAGGTGTATCCAGGACGTGCTCCTGGAGAAGCACGAGGGGGGGGGGGAAAGGGTGGGACTTCTGGAGCGGCGACAAGCGAGGGGAGGAAGCAAGAATGGCGCT